AAAATGTAGCATAGAGGTGGGTCTTTCTCCTAAAAGCCATGTAGGGGGTCTGGCTCCTGAATTATGAAACGAGCTTATCATAACGTGGTTTTATATGTGAGGCAGTTGCATAGCATGAGTTCTTAAAAATTTAAATATAGCCTTTTTTTTTTTTTTTACTAATACAAAGCAATACGTGTTTACTGTAGAATAACAGATAAGCAAATACTCCTATAATTGCATCATTCACACAGCAAAGCGTGAACACCCTGGAGTTTATATGCCCAGACCTTTTTTATACATATGTGTATTTTTTATGGAAATGGTACTGTTTGCATCCTCTCCCTTTGTTCAATTATAGATAATATTAATATACGCTGTAAGTTTTAGTGGCTGCAGAGCATTCTTTTGTATAAATGTATTATAATTTAAACATTCCACATTAGATAGACATTTTGTTCTAGTTTTGGGCTATTATGCAGATCACTGTATTGGAATCTTTGTGCATGTCCTTGCTACTTTTTAAATATTTAATTGGTAAAATCCAAGAGGTAGGATAATAGTGATTTTTTTTTTTTAATGCTTCTAAGGGATAGAGTTTTGCTACTTTTTAAATATTTAATTGGTAAAATCCAAGAGGTTTGCTACTTTTTAAATATTTAATTGGTAAAATCCAAGAGGTTTGCTACTTTTTAAATATTTAATTGGTAAAATCCAAGAGGTTTGCTACTTTTTAAATATTTAATTGGTAAAATCCAAGAGGTTTGCTACTTTTTAAATATTTAATTGGTAAAATCCAAGAGGTTTGCTACTTTTTAAATATTTAATTGGTAAAATCCAAGAGGTTTGCTACTTTTTAAATATTTAATTGGTAAAATCCAAGAGGTTTGCTACTTTTTAAATATTTAATTGGTAAAATCCAAGAGGTTTGCTACTTTTTAAATATTTAATTGGTAAAATCCAAGAGGTTTGCTACTTTTTAAATATTTAATTGGTAAAATCCAAGAGGTTTGCTACTTTTTAAATATTTAATTGGTAAAATCCAAGAGGTCCTCTCTGTATTAGTCCGTTTTGTGTTGCTTATAACAAAACACTTGGAACTGGGTAATTTATAAAGAAAATGAAATTTATTTGCTTACTGTTTCTGAGGCTGGGAAGTCCAGAGTCCATCTGGTGGTGGTGACAGTGACCCAGGGTCTCATATTGCAAGATGGTGGAAGCAGAGACAGCAGAGAGAGAGAGCAAGAGACAGACTTCTCTTCTTTTAAAGCCCTCGGAACTACGCCCCTGACCACCATTTTTAATCCACTACTGCAGAGTCCTACAATCCAATCACCTCTTCAAGGCTCTACCTTTCAATTACCACAACAGGACTTCCCACCCTCTTAACAGTCACAGTGGGGGCTAAGTTTCTAATACATAAAACCTGGGGGACACAATTCAAGCTTCAGGGAGTTTTGGGGGGGACATAATTCAATCCACTACACTCTCCACTTATAGAAATTTTGCCTGTCCTCCAGGAAGCTTTCTTTGTTTACCCCAAGTGAAAGCAAAGTCTATTTCTTTTCTTTATCTCTGGGTTGTTTGTAGCTGGGACACGACCTTCACGTCAGATACTGTGATGGAGGCTGTCACAAGGATGTAGAGGTTGGAGAGAACAGGACCTTTGGAGTCAGATAGATGTGAGCTCATCCCAGCTTTACAGGTCGTTTACCCCTTGAAGAATCAGATTTCTTGGAAGGGGGTAGTAGCACCTGTCTTCTACAGTTGTTAGTGAGGATTAAATGAGATTATTTAAAGTATCTGCGTCCTGCTTGGCAAACAGTGAGAGCTCAGGAGGTGACAGCAGTGATGATGGGGTGTGTGAGTTATGGTTAGTGTGGTGATCCAGGCCATCAGGTAAAATGGAGGATTTTCTCTTCTAAGTATCCCTGAATCTGCCCTCTCCCGAGCCCTGTAGCTGCTTCTTAGCTTTATAAAGCAGTTCTGGCCTGCCTTAAAGATAATAGCTCGGTTGCCACCTTCTCTAAATTTTCCCCAGTGGTTCAGGCTGGATTATGTTTGTCTCCTCTGTGTGCCCTCCCACAGTATCCATGCTGCGCTTATCACAGCACTGTAGTGTAATTGTCTTTTGCGTCCATTGTCCCTTCTCAGATGTGAGCTCATTGAGGGCAGGATGGCTCCCCATTCATCTCAGTGCAGCTATGAGGAGCACTACAAATATTTACTACCAGTTACTAGTGAGACTGAAAGGAAGAAACATTTAGGCCATGGAGGAGATGCTGGGCTTTGGTATTTGATTTAACTCCGTACAATTGATGGATTTTGAAGAGGCTTCTGAAATGGTAGCAGTACACAGGATCAATCAGTGTGGAGAGGAGACTGAAGGTGGGTCAGCCAGTTACAAGTCTGTCCTGCGTGATAGTCCTCTCTTGTTCAAATGTGAATGATATAACCAGATTTTTTTTTTTTTTAAAGACAAAGTACCCCCTCTGCCACACACTGTGAAGCTTTTAGGTGTAGTAACAAGACTTGCCTGAGAGATGGGAGCAGCATTTTCATGATGTGCATCCTAAGCTTTTAGAATAGCCCGACAGATGGTACCCTGTCACCTGTGTGAAAGCAGTTTCCGCCAAGAAATTCAATGCATCAATTGTTATGATCTCCCTATGAATCCCACAATAACCATTTGTCATTTGGTTTTAAAGAAAGCTGCTGTGATAGGGGAACGTGTAGAATACAATTGTTGAGTTACAGCAAGCTCCCCAAAGGGTCTCTTATGTGAGAAAGGGGAAACGCGTGTTTTCTGGTGGCATCGGGGCACTTCCTTCTGTGGTCATGGGTTTTGTTAGGAATGGAGGAGAGGCTTTTGATGGTTTTAAGATGGGTTTATGGTAAGGAGACCCGGAATGGTTAAAGCCTGCCACAAACCAAGGGAGTCCGCCCTGTGAAGTTCCCAAGGGAGGTATACTCCTAATGGTAGATGTGAAACAGGATGTCATGTTACTGTTTGCCTGGTTAGTGCATGTATAACTCCCGTGCTTTTTGGAAGACTGGGCTGTGGCAGATGGCCTGTCCTCAGGGTCTGTAGGGTCAAAGTCTTATTTATCATCAACAGCCCCAGTGCAGGTGTCAGGCGTGAGATGAAAAATGCCATCTGAGCTGTTTTCTTTAACATGCAGTTGTCCCTGCCCATTAGGGATGGTCTTGCAATCTGGGGCTTCCACTTAAGGTCTTGAAATCTGACCGAATCCGATGTGGGTTTCCCCCCTTGAGGAGGAACGGAGAGGATGGAAAGGAGGAGATCCTGAGAGCATCCACTATGATAGAGGCCTATCAGCCTCTGCCTTTCAAGAAAACAAAAGATCATACCATTTTGGGCCAGATGTAACCAAGAGGATCAAGGTATAGATTTTTGACAGAGCTAGCTACAAGAATATCTCCCTCACTCTTGCTTAACTGTAAAATGCAGTAAAATGAGAGAATGAATTGGGCAAAGTGAGAGAGTTGAAACATTAAACCTCCTGTATTTTCACTTCTTTGAAGTAAGATGGAGATACTAACACTGTGCTTGTAGGATTGTGGTGAAGCTTTAAGGGGATAGCAGATATTAAAGGACTGTACTCAGGGTCTGTCGCCCAGTTATTCAGGCCCTTTTGACTCATTCCTGATGGCAACAGTGCCCTGCAGTGGTGGGTGACTTCTAAGCACTTGGCATGTTGCAGTGACTCTTTGTGCCCAGGTGGCTGGCCTGGGGGTTGGAGAGGGAGCCTGGACAGCCATGCCAACTGGCCTAGTGAGTTTGTAGGCGGGAACCGCTAGTAAAGCAAATGTGCAAGGCTCCGGTGATCTTTTCCTCCACACTGTGGTGGTTGAGAACTTTTTCTTTTAGGATTAGTTTTGAAAATTGTATGTGTGGGTGCAGTTTAATTATAGTCTCATTTTTCAGGTACAGCTAGAGAAGGTTTTGGTTTTTTTCTTTGACCATGCGTCAGTTTCTTCAAAAAACTCATCCCGTCTGCAATTTCCAGAGTTCTGTAGTATTTTTAAAATAAAGTTGTTAGTCTCTTTTAAATCTGGGCTCATGTGCTTCCTTTCAAACAGCAAATGATGACATGCGGGAACAGAGCGCAGAGCCTCTTTTGCCCAACTTTTCTGAGCTTTATTTTGTCTCTTTTGTCATTTCTTTTAGTCATTTCCCTTGCTTTAGACAGTGGCTTTTTCAACTGCTCTTATATACTCCTTCCCCTAGTAATCTCACTTCTGAGAGTGTTACCTAAGGAAATAACTTAAAGGCAGATAAAGCTGTATGCATAAGATATTTATCTATAAAAGGGAAAATTTGGAGACGACCTAAATGTCAAGTAGGGAAATGGAAAAAACTATGGTACATGCATGCCTACAATGGAATTTTAGTATAATCATTAAAAATGATGTTTCTAAAGCAAATTTAGTAAGAGACATTTTTAAAGTCCTTAGTGAAAAATTTAAGTCATAATACGGTATCATCAGAGCATGGAATTTTAGTATAATCATTAAAAATGATGTTTCTAAAGCAAATTTAGTAAGAGACATTTATAAAGTCCTTAGTGAAAAATTTAAGTCATAATACGGTATCATCAGAGGCAAAATTCATGGAGAAAAGAATGGGAGGAAATCCATAACATGTCTTTGGAGGTAGCAGGAAGATAGTGATCTTTTTTTGATTCTATTACCCATTTCCTACAATGAGCATATATTCTGTAGAACCAGAGTTTTAGAGAAGGAAATAGAACCTGTACCAGCAGTGCCCTGGTGACTGCTTTTTAGATTTGGGGCTGTCACCTAGATCTAGTGCCAGAGGAGTGATAAAGGAGCAGTCTATAGCCTGAATTGTGTTCTTGGTGATCATGCTTTAAATGTCCAGGATTGTTATAGAGTGTTTAAACAAATGCAACAGTGCCTTTGCAAATGCATGAGGGAGAAATTATCAGGGAACACTTAAAAGAATATTTTATTCTTGATGTTATCTTTGCTTTCAGGAAAATCAGTTGGAATGGAAATGAGCACCGAGAACGAACAGATAGAGAGGTGAGTGTTAGCATTTGTTAAGAAGTCTTTCCAGGACTTTCTGGGTTTGGTTTGCCTGCCACCTTTTTAAATCTTCCAGGTCCCTCCCATTCTGTTAGTTTCCTGCTGGAAGTGACAATGGCCTTACAAAACCAAGAGTTCATGCTGGGGGTCCTGCATCCTTCATTCATTCGTTTCAGGTTACTCATGGCATTTCTGTCAGGTGATTTGAACCAGGTGACATATTCTCTCTGTTGGCTCCTGGGTATGTGTGGGATAAATTCCAGACTCAGCCTGGCATTTGAGGCCCTTCTTCCTCCCCTGCCCTTTTCCTTCCCTTTCCTGTCTCTCCTCTACCCCCTCCCTTCCCAGCATGTACCCCATGCTACAGTTTTATCTGGCTTCTTATTGTGCTCTAGACCATGGCTGTGCAAAGCTGTACACTCTTCCTCTTGTAGTTTGAAAATTATTCTTTAGAGTCAGTTCAAATGGAAATGAACGTGGCTCTCCCCAATGCTCTACCTCTCCACCACGTCCCAGGATCAGTTACATTGCAGCACTTACCACATGGTATTATAATACTTTCTGTATTTATCTTTCCACTCTCAGAATTCTGAAGGACATGAGCTAGCTAGTATTAACTGGGTATTCGTGGTTGTCAGCTGCTGTCCTAGGCATTTCACATTCATTACTTCTAACCCTATGAGGTGAGCATTTTTATTCCCATTTTAGGATGAGGAGCCTGTGGGTCAGAGTTGCATACTTGCCATTAAGAGGCAGAGCTGCGATCTGAACTTGACTCTGACATACTCCAGTGCCTGTGCTCTTACCGTTATTCCCATTGTCTTTGAGGGCAAAAACTATGTCTTGAGTATCTCTACTTGCTCCAGCTCCAAGTATCTGGCATGTAGTTGCAGTTTAAAAAGTGTTCATAGAATAAATTAATTATATATTTTCTTAGCTTACTTCTATGGCCACTGAAAATGCCAAGGTCTTGCCTTCCTCTGTTTACTTGTTAAAGGTTCTGAATGCTATTAATGCTGCTGGGTACTTTCCTTCTCTTTCGAGACATTGTGCTTTGGGCTTCTGGGGGTAAAATAAATAAATAGAGACCAGTCCGGGATACAGAATTTTAGATTTTGTTGGCATCACGAAGGCCACCAGCATCATTAAAGTGACTAGGCAGGGAAGTATCACAGCTCACGGAAGACATTTTAATCAGAGCTTCTATAAATTTAAAAGTACTCCTTTACTACTGCAGTAATGTCAGAGATCCCTCCTAGTTCAGCCTTCCACTTCCGTCCTTATGATAGCAGATCCACTGGCAGACTGTGGAGAGGGCAAGGAAGGCTTTTCAGAGTGGGGCCAGTCTTAACTGAGATCTAAAGGATGAGAGATGAAGGGGCCAGGGCTGTTGGGAAAGTGTCCGTGCCTGAGGCGAGGGAGACATGGCCCCTTTGAGCAGTGTGGCTGGTGCAGAGAGCATTGAGGCTGGAGAGGCAGGCTGGGACACGCTGGGCTGGTCCTCAAATGCTATGTTAAGAGTCCAGACTATTCTGCAGGAAAAGGGGAGTCTTTGAAGGAGGGTCAGCTGGGACTAGACATGATCAGATTTGCTGTTTTGGAAGACCACTGTGGTGGCTCAGAGAAGGGGTTTGAGGGAGGCAGGGAACCTCTTTTAGCCCTACTCAACCAATGTGTCCCCCTTTTCCATTTCTGACAGATTCATTTTCTTTCCTTCTGTTCTACCTTTTTCAGCTGTGGGCTTAGCACTCGCCTGGGTCACTCTCAGGCTAATTAAATGGGTGCCCTTGGCCTGTTCTGTACTTTGACAAGCCAGCAGGAAGCCTGTGCATCCATCATGCTGTCTGGACAAAGTTGTGTCTGGTGTTTACCTGTTAATGAATGCATTGCAGCTTTGGAATCCTTTGCTTTTGTCTGAGCTCATGAATAATGAGACTGTGGCCACTGACAAGAAATAATAGGAAAAAGTGAGAAAAAAAAAAAAGTTTAAATTAAGGAGCTTATCTATAATGGAGGTCCATGTGGGCTTTTCACAGCATTCAGGTTGTTTTGCTTCATGGCTTAGGTGGTCCTTGGAAAATAACAATTTAATAATCAGATAATTCTCATGAATAATGAGACTGTGGCCACTGACAAGAAATAATAGGAAAAAGTGAGAAAAAAAAAAGTTTAAATTAAGGAGCTTATCTATAATGGAGGTCCACGTGGGCTTTTCACAGCATTCAGGTTGTTTTGCTTCATGGCTTAGGTGGTCCTTGGAAAATAACAATTTAATAATCAGATAATTCCCAAAACGATGATATTGGGACTGACTTGGGGACCATGAGGGTTCTGAGATTTTTAAATCCATAAGGCTACTTCATGGTTTTGGGCTGGATTCCCACATTCTCCTAGGGCCTTGGAGCCAGACAGACCTGGTTCAACTCTGAGCTGTGCCACTTACAAGCTGTGAGACAACGGGTTAGTTTATGATGTACCTCCGTCTCCCCGACTCTAAGTGAGGATAGTAATCCATCCATGAAAGAGTTTCTGTGAAGACCAAATAAGATCTAAAATGGCGGGTACAGTGGGCATTTGGTAAATAGCTGCCATAGATCCATACCCTCCCTTGGGTTACTCCCCTGTAAGCCAGACTGTGGGACAGGCACAGTCCCCTCACTTGCCCTTCTTCATAGGCTCCAAACTCAAGCCCGCTGAGCCCTTTTTGTATTTATAATGTCATTGCTTAACGCTGTAGGGAAACAAAAATCTGAAGTTGCAAATGCAGGGAAGTTACAAAGGATGAAGTAATCTTAAGTGTTCTTAAGTCATGGTTCTGGCTTGGGATTTCAGTGTGGGAAATGATTTCTCTTTCAATCCCAATGATTAAGGAGTGAGGAAGACAACTTAACCTACCAGCGTATTCTACCTGAATCTCGTGAGCCTTCTCATGCATTGTCTGATTATGAAATGTCTGAAAAGTCTTTCTTCTCACAAGACCAGAAGCAAGACAGTGAGACTGAGAAGACTTCAGTTATGGCAAATAATTTTTCTCAAGGTAAGCTAAGCTTTACTAAGTGTTTTAAACATGGCCAGATTCAAACAGTAATTTGCCATCTTGCCGTAGTAAGCAGAGAGTGGTGACATTTCTCTGATGAGAGGTGAGAGCCAAAGCTGGTCATTCAGAATAGTGTTTATCACTGGAGAAAGCTATGGTTGTCAAAAGTGTTGGTGATTGGAGAAAAGTCATTTTTATTTTTTCAATGATGATTTACCATGTCCTTGCTCTTTTCTAACAGTGGCAGACTGAAACGCACTGGAGTTTTGTGTCCATGCAAGTTTGGTTAAGTTCCTGTTGTTTCTTTCATACCTATCCTAAGGCAGGGTCAGTTCAAAGATTCTGCTGCTTTGAATTGTACAGATTCCCAAGAGTACCTTATCTGCTGATAATTTCTGATATTTTTGTACAAATACAAAATTTGTGATTGTATAAATCTGTTGTGTTTCCCTTTAGTGTGACCCTTGGCCCATTGGGTCAAGCCTTATTTGTCTTAGTTCATTTGAGCTGCTATAACAGACCGCCAGAAACTGGGTGGCTTGTAAACAGAAATTTATTTCTAACAGTTCTAAAGGCTAAAAGTCCAAGATCAGGGTACTAGCCAGCATGGTTGGGTTCTGGCAAGGGTCCTTTTCCAGGTTGTAGACTGCCGTGTTCTCAGTAAATCCTCACATACAAGAGCAAGAGAGCTCTCTGGGGTTTTATAAGGGCACTGATCCCATTCATGAAGGTTCCACCCTCATGACCTAATCACCTCCCAAAGGCACCTCCTCCTGATATCAGATAGGGGCTTACAGTTTCAATATATTAATTTTGGAGATACAGACCTTCGGTCCATAATGCCCTTGTTCTGTCTTTGACCATGGACTGAGTTGGTAGAACCAGCCTCTCAAGGAACCTGCCCCTTATCTCCCATTCACCTTTTCTGTACTTGCAGTCTTGATACTCTCCTGTAGGGTTAATTGGTAAGGCTTAGTTTTTGTAATCCAATATATTTCAAAGGTACAAGGAGTTATATAGACCGGACTGGATAAACTAAGGATCAGAAAAATTTCCTATAAAGGAGAAGATAGTAAATACTTTAGGCTTTGCAGGGTATGTAGTCTTTGTTGCAATTACTCAGCTGTGCTGTTGCAGCACAAAAGCAGCCATAGGCAGTGTAAACGAATGGGCATAGCAGTGCACCAATAAAACTTTATTTACAAAAAGATTTGGCTCACAGGTTGTAGTTTTCCAACTGCTGGTATAGACTCTGTACCTTATCTGCCAGTCATCTGGTCTCTCCCTTCTTCCAATGGGTTGTTTACAAGGCACCCAGAGTGGACTTCGTTTAGCACAAATCATACATTGGTGCCTCCTTGCTAAAAATTCTTTGTTGACACTTGATCACGTAGATCATTGTTTTAAAAAATTGGAAATCTTTTTTTAGCAACACGACCCCTTTTGCAGATGAAAATTTATGTAGAGGCTCTACCCAATGTGTAAAGGAGATAGCAGTGGAGCCTTTGTCTCCTTGGTGGCCTCCGAGACTCCTCAAGGATACTCAGCACCTAGAGCACCACAGTGTGAAGACATATCTGGAGCATGAAGTGTACATTCTCAGTGTAACTCAGGTGTCAGTTGGAGTCCTCCAGCAGCCAGTCATCTAGACCTGATTTCTTTGGATTTCTGGCTGTGTCCCTCTGCAATTTATGTGACTTCTGAATACTTGGTTTTTTCTTGGTCAGTTCTGGCTCTACATTCTGCTTTCCCCTAATTTAGGTCAGACCATGAATTATTTCCCTGTCCCTAGTGCCACCTCCTTCTGCACTGTTATCAATACAGTGTAGAACTCAGTCCCTTTCCAGGAACCCCTCCCCCTGGACCACTCCCACAAGGCCTTTGTGCAGACTTGATTGAGGGTTTGAGCAACTAGAAGGAGGGTAGTGGTTACAGCAACCCAAGTAACTTAAATGAGAATATTTAATGTTCTTTAAAACTCTCCTGCAGTGGTACTGGGCAATTCCCTCTTCTTCCTCGTGACTGCCCCTCACCCTGTCTGCCACCCTAACCTTGTTTATTTCTAATGTAGAGCATTTTAGCCATCTCTTCTATTTCTTATTCCTCTGGGGACCCATAACTGTGGGTTCATTATGTCCTCTTAGTGGATTACCAGACACTTCCCTGAGTGGGGACGTGTTCTCTGGAACCATCCTATTACAACCACTGTTACTTTTTTAGTGTCTTTCTCTTCAGCCTTTTATCCTCTGCATCTGTTTTTCCCATTGTCACATTTGTAATCTGTGTAGAGAGATAATTTAGTATTTTTCCTTTTCTCACTTAATATTATAAGCTTTCTGACATGTTGTACCACTGTTACTTTTTTAGTGTCTTTCTCTTCAGCCTTTTATCCTCTGCATCTGTTTTTCCCGTTGTCACATTTGTAATCTGTGTAGAGAGATAATTTAGTATTTTTCCTTTTCTCACTTAATATTATATCATAAGCTTTCTGACATGTTGGTACATAACATCATTTTTAGTGATTTAGAATAGTCCATTGAATGGCTGATCTCTAGTTTTCC